GACCATGAAACCTTTCTGGTCATTGCTTCGAAGGTATTCGTGTTTCTAATTCAACAAATTCAACTCTTAATTGAATTCCATGAATAGTCCAGTCGTATTCGACTCTTTCTAAACTTAAAACTATGATGAATAAAACTTTAATGTTGTTTCTTTTAACTCTTAGAAAGTCCGGAACTGAATGATTTAAAGAATTATTATCAGTATAAAACAGAATAACAGTTGGCATTCTTCAAAATTTTTAAGCGAAATTATGTAAAAAGCAGATACCTCTGTTTGATTTCCAATCATAACTTTGGAACCTCTTTACCAATTTGCCTTAAATACGATTAGGAAAATTGATGGGAATACCGGGAATGTTCTTAACTTTGTCAATAAATTCTAAATTGAAAAAAATATGTCTATTTTAAAAAGATTTATGGAAATCGGTAAAATAAAAAATAAAAAATAAAAAAATTCCACCTTTGAAAAATAAATATACGTATTACAAAAAAAACACTATGAAAAATTTGTAAGTTTAAACAATAGACATCCCTGTTTGATTCGAATTTCGTAATCCCGATTTTTTTGTGGTGATTTTTTCGTTAACCTTTGGCTTCAATAGTATTTTTGAATTAAGACAGTGCAAAATTGAAAAATTTGCCTAATTCAAAATAAAATTAGTTTTTACATATTTGAGAGAAGCATAAAAATTTAACAATTTCAAATATAAAAGTTTTCAAAAATTTGATATTTTATTTTGGAATTATAATAAAATTGATAACTAGCATGCAATAGTAAGGATTTAATGATAATCTAAATGTTATCAATAACACTAATAAAGTAGATCAGAATAATATACAAAACAGACTTTTATACTTGATTACGTTGTACATTTAAATACATGGTAGCTTGATTGTACAAAGAACATGAATCTTAATTAAAACCATGGGCTATTCGAAGTTCCTATTCAAATGCAAAAAAAAAATCATTAACAAATACAACAAATAATCTTTCCAAATTCAATACAAAAAAGCAATGATATTTCTTTTTTTAAATTATGTAAGTGCACGTGCCAGTACATATGTACAGTACAGACTATGTGTTTGCCTGCAGGGGACGTGAGCCGGACGGCGCAGTACTTCCGTCTTCTCAAGCTTGCTAGAATTGTTAAAACATTGAGGATTATCAGGTATTGGAACTATACAGGAGAAGGATTATTAGGTATTGGAACTATACAGGAGATGGATTATCAGGTATTGCAACTTTATAGGGAGAAGGATTAACAGGTATTTGAACTATACAGGAGAAGGATTTTCAGGTATTGGAGCTACTGGAGAATGATTATCAGGTATTGGAACTAAACAGGAGAAAGATTATCAGGTATTGAAACTATACAGGAGAAAGATTAACAGGTATTTGAACTGTACATGAGAAGAATTTTCAGGTATTGGAACTATACAGGAGAAGGATTATCAGGTATTTGAACTATATACATGAGAAGGATTTTCAGGTATTGGAGCTACTTGAGAATGATTATCAGGTATTGGAACTATACAGGGGAAGGATTATCAGGTATTGGAGCTATACAGGAGAATGATTATCAGGTATTGGAACTATACAGGGGAAGGATTATCAGGTATTGGAACTACACAGGAGAAGGATTATCAGGTATTGGAACTATACAGGAGAAGGATTATCAGGTATTGGAACTATACATGAGAAGGATTTTCAGGCATTGGAGTTACTGGAGAATGAGGTATTGGAACTATACAGGGGAAGGATTAACAGATATTGGAACTATAGAGGGAAAAGGATTATCATGTAGTAGAACCACAAAATGTTTTTAGCTTGGTTTAAAAGTTGAGTAGGGTGACTCTTGCAGGGGAATTCCAGACAAATCTGGGTTTCCAGGCTAAATATATTCCATGAATTATGGATTCTCCTTTTTTACCTTGAAACTGTACGGAAATACGATAGTTAAGTTAAAGTTTATTTATTCTTAACAAGTGCACAAAGAACACTAGAACTTTCTTCCTATAACGTCATAAACCCTGCCGCTAATACAATAGTCATGAGTATATCTCCGTCATAGGTTTTTATTCCTACAGGAATATTCCAGATTATTGCGGCGTATTAAGCCGGGAAATTTTGCAAGGTATATTTTGTAAATCAAATTAAAGAAAACAAAGCTAAACTAACTTAATCTTAGTATTTTCTGTGGCTGTAATAAATATCATTCGCTCAAAAGCCCACAAAAATGCTGAATGAACTAATTATTTATCTTTTTTACAATTAAAAAACGCCAAGAATGTATAGCCAAACAAGAAAAGTATATAAAATATCAAATAAAAAAATAGTTTCATTTAATAAGGTAAAGGGATCAAAAGTAAAGACCCGCGGACCATGAAACCATTTCATTAATTATTAAATTTTTGGGGGTATTATAGAATTGATTTAAAAAAAAATTTTTTATTGAATTAACAGTTTATTTTTTCGTTTTTCTCCTGTCTGACACTGCAGTGTTATGGTAGGTTTAAATATATACAAATAAGAGAACATGTAAAATTGTCACCTCCATGCAAAAAAAAGTGCCCCGGTAAAAAAGTCTAAAGTTTTCAGCTATTCTAAACCTATCTCCCCCCCCCCTTCCTCCTTGCTCCTAGATTTTCTCTACTTAAACTCAATGAAATAGTTTAGCTGTCAGGTCAATTCATCAGTTTCAGGTTTTCTATTTACTCCAGGTAGGCTGTAAAGTAGAGGTGTCGGACACTGCGGGGAAACTACCGGGAAAAGTGTTACATTTATTTTAGATGATTTCGGATTTATATTTTTCACACTTTAAAGCACAGAGCCCAAAATTTAGGTCAGGATAATACTTTTTTATTCTTCACGTTGTTACATTTATATTCTCACTTTACTTTCAATGTTTTTAATTAACAACTACATGATTATGTAAACCACGAAAATGAAACTCAGGAGTTACGTTTCACGATACAGAAATACTACATTGAGCATGTTAGCTGTGTAGGCCATGTAGGGTAAGGTGCACTTATGTACACGTTAAATATCCTCAGCAGTGTACAGTGCATGTAAACTATGTAAGTGTATGTATAAGTCCGTAAGGTGTGTACAGTGAACCAAACTACACACGCAACAATATATCAGAATTTTTCAAATTACTCCTTTTAGATTAAATTGAAGACTAAAAATGTTTGATCTAGTTGGTAAGAATTAAGATAAATTTCAGGTCGTCTTTACAGTTACATCCTTTGAGGGTAACCCTGTATGAACATAAATATTTCAGGATCTTCAAGTTAGCCCGACATTCAACCGGACTCCAGGCCCTGGGGAACACAATGAAGTCGAACTACAAGGAGCTGGGCCTCCTCTTCCTTCTCCTCGGGATGGGGGCCATCATGTTCGCCTCCCTCATCTACGTGTTCGAGAAGGAGGACAATGACTCGACCTTCAAAACAATGTTCGATGCTTACTGGTGGGCAATCATCACGATGACAACGGTAAGTTTTATTAAAGAGATTGTTCACGGATGTTAGAATGCACATAATATTACAAATTCGTTAAAATTAGGATCCCAACTGAGCTAATCTTAAAGGTACTATCTGTACTGTAGCGGTAACAATTCCCCTGGTTTCTTGAAAATATTGGGATTTTTTAATATTTTATTTAATATGATAATATAAGATTTTCAAAATCCAAGAAACAATACATGTTTCTTTTTTGTGAAAAATATTGATATTAATTTTAACAAAAGGGGATATTTATAAAAGGTAAGGTTGGTGTTGTTTATGTTCCTAATTGTGCTTTGATATTTTCAAGTAGGATTAGTTTTAGAACGAACCGTCTGAGTAACTTGAGGATGTGAATTGCAGTTTTGAGCAGATTTTTTAGAAATACTTTTAACATTCTATTACGCTAGCTGCTTTCCGATATCTGATTACTTTCACCAATCCTTTACTTTGGGCTGCCAACTATATCTTAAACTTTTGATAAACTAAACCTTAAAGGGACTGCACACGTTATTTCAATTGATCGATATCTCTTGAACTTGAAACTCTTGATCTCTTGAACTTGAAACTCTTGATCTCTTAAACCTTAATCTCTTGAAACTTAAATTTTTGATATCTCTTAAATCCTAAACTCCTGAACATTAAACTCTTGATATAACCTGAACCGTAACTCTTGTTATCTCCTGAACCTTGAACTCTTCATATCTCAATAAACCTAAACTTTTGAATCTCCTAAACCCAAACCCTTGATATTTCCTGAACTTTAAACTCTTGATATCTCCTGAACTTAAATCCCTCAATATCTCCTGAACCTAAATATCTCAATATCTCCTCAACCCTTATCTAACGATATCTCTTGAACATCTATTGTAAATCTTAAAATATCTCTTAGTTTTATTATTGAAATCCAGGAACTTTTCCCCTTCTACAGAATCTGTGAAATTAAAACGGATGAGATCCCTAGATATTCTTTTATTTTTATATAGTTCAAAACTTTCAAATTCCCTCGGGATTTTAAAGTTCGGATTATGGTGCCCTTCAAATAGATGAAATATGGCTAAAATTCATCAGATTCGAATAAAATATCAAACAGACGAAACAGGAAGATAAAACATAAAAAGGCTACGTATCAAAACCATAAGTTTAAGAAGGAAGAATGGAAAATGAAAAATCCGTTCTGCTCCGTTTGTGAGATATTTAGTCTATGATGTAGAATGATAAAAGGGCAGGACAAGGCTGACCTGCCTGCATGAACAGCTGAGCGCGTAGATTTATCTCTCCCTGCCTACTGCTGTTCCCACGTAACATTAGCCAAAGTATATTTCAGTTTTCCGTATGTAACTTCTCAGGTTTCATCGCAGAACTTTACATTTTTCTTAGGACGTCATCAAACTCCTCCTCAAACAATGTTTAAGTTTAAGAATACAACACTAGTTGTGTGAGAATCCTTGTCTGCTTTCATCGCTAAAAAATATCTGAAAATTTTGGAAAATTTTGAAAACCTTGAATTTCTGACGTCTCGTATATATTTGAGGATGAAAAAACGTGTCGGAATTTTTACTCTCTTTTAGTTTCTATGTTTGTCGGCCAACATTTTCTTACTTGTCTGATCCGTCTGTTTGACACCTTATACGTTCCGCTCCATTAAAGTTCGGATTATCGAAAAATCTGTAAAATTTCAGTCATTTTTTTAATCGCCCAATTCCCTTTAAGTCTGATCTACAGAAATTAGTTTTTATTTACGTCGTTATAAGTTCTGAAAAATCCAGATCAAGAAAGCTTTTAGTACATAATTTAGCTGGTATAGCTTAAAGTACAAACTCTAGATCAAAGGAGCTCAAAGTACATAATCTATATTTATGAAGGGTGATTGAATTGTAACTTTTTTTTAGAATTCAGCTAACAGCACACCAGAGGTTGCTGCGTTTTCACTTAATAAAAATATTGCAATAAAGAAAAATTCAAAATCGTCCATACGGTTGTGAACTGACGATTTAATATCGGAGAAATCACCGCAAGGCCCCCCAAAAAAATATTTTTAAAAACATCATGTTTTACATAATTTTCTTGGAAATTTTATGCTGAATTCAAATCTGAAAAGCGATTTAAAAAACAGATATTGAATGAGTTAGAGATAGAAAACTCACCAAAAAACATTTTGGACCGGTATTTGGCTAATACTTCTTTTATTTTTGATATTTTAAAAACATTTTGGACCGGTATTTGGCTATATACTTCTTTTATTTTTGATATTTTAAAAACATTTTGGACCGGTATTTGGCTATATACTTCTTTTATTTTTGATATTTTAAAAAGCGCTTTTCAGATTTGAATTCACCATAAAATTTCAAAGAAAAGGATGTATAACACGAAGTTTTTCAAAATATTTTTTTGGGCCTTACGGGGATTTCTCCAAAATTTAATTGAAATTTTTTTTGATTGCAATATTTTTTTTAAGTAGAAACGCAGCAACCCCCTGTGGGTGGTTGGCTTAATTCCAATATTGATCACCCTTAATATCTATATATCTATATTGGAGTTCAAATTACATAATCCAGATTAAGGTTAGTTCAAAGTACGTAATCTTTGTCGATGGAGCTCAAATTACATAATCCAGATTGAGGTTAGCTCAAAGTACGTAATCTTTATCAATGGAGCTCAAATTACATAATCCAGATTGAGGTTAGTTCAAAGTACATAATCTTTGTCAATGGAGCTCAAATTACATAATCCAGATTGAGGTTAGTTCAAAGTACGTAATCTTTGTCAATGGAGCTCAAATTACATAATCCAGATTGAGGTTAGCTCAAGTACGTAATCTTTATCAATGAAGCTCAAATTACACAATCCAGATTAAGGGAGCTCAAAGTATGTAATCAATATCTATGGAGATCAAATTACATAATCCAGATTAAGGGAGCTCAAAGTATGTAATCAATATCTATGAAGCTCAGATTACATAATCCAGATTAAGGGAGCTCAAAGTACATAATCTAGCTAAAATAACAGAACAGATGTCAGACCAAAGGAGCTCTAAGCAAAGCAACCAGATCTAAGAAGCTCAACGTTCAGAATAAAGGTATTTGGAGCTCAAAGTACAAAATTCAGATCAATGGAGGCTAAAGTAACAGAATTCAAATCTAAGTAGCTCAGAGTAACAGAATCAAGATCAATTAAGCTGTAAAATAACAGAATCAAGATCAATTATTCTGTAAAATAACAGAATCAAGATCAAAGGAGCTGTAAAATAACAGAATCAAGATCAATTGAGCTGTAAAATAACAGAATCAAGATCAATTAAGCTGTAAAATAACAGAATCAAGATCAATTGAGCTGTAAAATAACAGAATCAAGATCAATTGAGATGTAAAATAACAGAATCAAGATCAATTGAGCGGTAAAATAACAGAATCAAGATCGAGATGAATAGGCTTATCATAATCCACACACATGTCCTAACTAATGTGTATAGTCTGTCTGTTTGTTTCCTGTTACTTTGTAAGTAAACTATTTATTTTGTCCTGCTGTTTCTTCCTGTTTATGTTTCAAGCTGTGTACTCTGTACTGTGTTCAGAAAACAAAATCAAATTGAACAAAATATTCTGTTCTGTTTTGTTCAAAATTATATGACGATGCGTAGACTCATGTTTTAAGGATTTTTTTTTCACTAACCCTCAATCCCTACCTGGAGTCATGCTGATATAGAACCTGTTTTGAATGTACTCAAGGTAATGTGAATGTCTAGAATTAGCTGATATATAAACCGCCCAGCTTCTACTCCTAGTAACCCCCCTGAATATCTACCTGGAGTATGCTGAAATATAAACCGTCCTGCTTCTACTCCTAGTCCCCTGAATGTCTACCTGGAGTATGCTGATATATAAACCGTCCTGCTTCTACTCCTAGTAACCCCGTGAATGTCTACCTGGAGTATGCTGATATATAAATCCTAGTCCCCTGAATGTCTACCTGGAGTATGCTGATATATAAACCGTCCTGCTTCTACTCCTAGTAACCCCGTGAATGTCTACCTGGAGTATGCTGATATATAAACCGTCCTGCTTCTACTCCTAGTAACCCCCCTGAATGTCTACCTGGAGTATGCTGATATATAAACCGTCCTGCTTTTACTCCTGCTACACTTTTTGCACCTTTCCTTCCTTTCCCTTCTCAAACTCATATAATTACTCGGCAACTTAGCTCAGCTCTAAACTATTCTTAGTTTTATATTTTCACATATTCTAGTTTGCCATAATTACACAGTTTACATAGTAGTTAACATTTAGAAATGTTCTTTGATGCTTTCCCGGCCCCAGTTTTTTTACAGTCATCTTTTTAATTTTAAAACATTGGCGACATAAAAATTATTTATTAAGTAAAGGTTTTAAAAAGGTGCTTTGAACGTCCTAGCATTTTTTGCCATCACAGGAGGGAACTTTTGTATTGGATGCTCCTTACCTTGAACACTTGATCTTGATATCCAATGCGGGCACTTTAAATTCAAGAATCAATCCTTGATCCCCTCGTTTGAGTTATCCCTGCTGAAATTTAAAAAATTCAAGTAAATACGACTCAGGTCTAAGCTGTTGTTGCGCCTTATTTACGGCTCGGGCCTTAGGATTTAAGTTGCTCTAATTTTCAACAGAGTTTAGTTCATAAAACCGGTTTATTGTTATATTTTGCGGATTTTCATAGTTGGAATTGGGGCATTCCGGGTTTTGATGAGAAGAAGACCCAACATTGAGCCTTATTCTCCACTAAAACCAACCAAGGTCGGTTTTATTTTCATTGAGCTTAACTCAAGTCGAGCCTAAGATCTCGCAGCTGTCAATCACGTGACACAAGCTGTCGTCAGAATTGGGTCTAAGATTGGGTCTTAAAGCTGCGTTTAAAGAATTAAGACTCGAGCCGAAGCTTTTAAATCTCTGGGTAGGAAGAGTAATGAAATTATTTCGAAGGTTTGCATAAGTTGGAGATTAATGATTGATCCTAAGATTCAGAACATAAAAGTTCTAACTTGGTGGAACCACGGGAATGTTTTTAGCTAGGTTTAAAAATGCTAAAGCTCCCAACCTACCTTTAGCATAAAACAGCGATAAGAATGATCTACAAGAAGGTTATTAAGTGAAAAATTAATATGAAAATGCTTTTTAAAAATCAGTTTGTTTTAAAATGTGAAATTATATTTGTCTGTGTTCTTGTGAAGTATTGATGTTTGTATAACCTTGAGTCTGATACTTTCAACTGTTCAATGCTTTCAGAGTAAAATTATAGAACTCCGAACAATATTATATATGCATAATGTTGTTAATCAGGTTTATCTTAAAACCTTTAATAAAACTTCCAACATTTCAAAACTGTATTCTGTTTATTAAACTTTGCAATATCTTTTTCCTATAAAATTACCATTTTAACAAGTTAGTTATTTCCTTAAACTCTCTGATACATTTCTGTATACACTCCCATCAATGTGAATTTACGCCTCAAACTCTAATTTCTGTATACACTCCCATCAATGTGAATTTACGCCTCAAACTCTAATTTCTGTATACACTCCCATCAATGTAAATTTACGCCTCAAACTCTAATTTCTGTATACACTCCCACCAATGTGAATTTACGCCTCAAACTCTAATTTCTGTATACACTCCCATCAATGTGAATTTACGCCTCAAACTCTAATTTCTGTATACACTCCCATCAATGTAAATTTACGCCTCAAACTCTAATTTCTGTATACACTCCCACCAATGTGAATTTACGCCTCAAACTCTAATTTCTGTATACACTCCCATCAATGTGATTTTACGCCTCAAACTCTAATTTCTGTATACACTCCAATCAATGTGATTTTACGCCTCAAACTCTAATTTCTGTATACACTCCCACCAATGTGATTTTACGCCTCAGACTCTAATTTCTGTATACACTCCCATCAATGTGAATTTACGCCTCAAACTCTAATTTCTGTATACACTCCCATCAATGTGAATTTACGCCTCAAACTCTAATTTCTGTATACACTCCCATCAATGTGAATTTACGCCTCAAACTCTAATTTCTGTATACACTCCCATCAATGTGAATTTACGCCTCAAACTCTAATTTCTGTATACACTCCCATCAATGTGAATTTACGCCTCAAACTCTAANCCCCCCCATCAATGTAATTTTACTCCTCAAACTCTAATTTCTGTATACGCTCCCATCAATATGATTTTTACCTCAAACTCTAATTTCTGTATACGCTCCCATCAATGTGATTTTACTCCTCAGACTCTTATTTCTGTATACGCTCCCATTAATGTGATTTTTCGTCTCAAACTCTAATTTCTGTATACACTGTAATCAATGTGATTTTTCGCCTCAAACTCTAATTTCTGTATACACTCCCATCAATGTGATTTTTCGCCTCAAACTTTAATTTCTGTATATGCTCCCATCAATGTGATTTTTCGTCTCAAACTCTAATTTCTGTATACACTCTAATCAATGTGATTTTTCGCCTCAAACTCTAATTTCTGTATACACTCCCATCAATGTGATTTTTCGACCCCAAACTCTAATTTCTGTATACACTCCCATCAATGTGGTTTTTCGCCTCAAACTCTAATTTTCTATCGCTATTCCAATCGTTGCAGTCTAATGATGTAAAACGATATTTCTAATTTTGGGTATTTAATAAAACAATTTTTTAAAACGTTGTTTGAATCTTTTTAATCAACTTTATTTACTTTGAGCGTAATAAGGATGTCTTGAATATGCGTAAATTGTTTGTTTTTTCACATCACATTATTAACACTTTACTTAGAAGCTTATCCATTTCTTTAGAACAAATATTAATTAAATATATTGCATAAACACATTGTTATGACTGGGAAAAAAGATCCCCACAATTCATAAATAAGTTTCTATCAACCATGAAAATTGATATTTTTTCCTGATGTTTTAAACTGTTCATATAAAGCAAAAACAAATATGCGACAAAACCTAGAATTTTTCATTTTTACAAAATATATATTATATAAGAAAAGGGGGGGGGGGTAATAATTTTAAAAAGTGACATATTTAAATCATTAACAATCTTTTTAAAAATTCTTTATTAATTAAATTTTTATTTGAGGTTGGGTACGGTGATGTGAGTCCTGTGACCGGGATGGGTAAAGTGATCGGTTGTTTCTGTGCGATCTTTGGCGTGCTAGTGATCGGACTACCGATCCCAATTATCGGGAATAGTTTTAATAAGTTCTATGCCCGACAGAAGAGATGGGAGAAAGGAGAAGCTGAAGCAAAGAGCAGAAAGTTGGCTCTAGAGAACCAGAGTAAACAAGGGAAGGATCAGCAGGACGGATTATCTAGATCATCTTTCCGTGGACTTTAGTGCATTATGATTTAAAGTCATTATATGATTAAAGGGACTGTACAGTGTAGACGTAAACCGCGGCATTCAATTTCCAGCTTGAAACAAATAGGAACTCTCCCTTATTGATGATCAGAAGAAGGGTATCGTTGTTAATTGAACATGCCACTCTACAAGGGCAACTTCGAAAGTCCTTTATTTACGCTGCTCAGTCCTTTCTAGTCCCAAAGTTAAGTGAAAATTTAGGACTAGGGTTTCTGTAAACCCTAGGAAAATTGTCAGATACAGAATGCTCAACTCGTTAAACGTTTGCTCATGAATTCAATGAAACCCTCTGTGATTAAACGTGTTTATGTATTCATGTACCGGTGTACTGTACTGCATATTTTACAAACAAATGTACGCAAATGTATCATTAAAAATAGATTCAGTTTTGAAAATTAAAAAGTCTTAAATTGATAAACAGTGGGATCCATAATACTTTAAGAAAGGAATATGACTGTTAAACCTAAGTTTTGATTTCACTAAGTCCAAAGAAAATAACTCAGAAACTGTGCAATTTATGTACAGTGTATTAAGACACACTTCACTTTGTGAGTTACCCTGTACAATACATACAAAATGGCTTAAGTTTCGTCTTCCAATTCTACAGTATTGTGGGTTCCACTGTAACCATATTTATATTTCCATTAAAGAACAGGAAAACCTGCTCGGAACCCTAGTGTGCTTTGTGGGGAAAGTATTGGTTAAGTATTTGTGAAAAGTGCAATATATACCCTCTAGACCAGATATAGTAATATAAACCTGCTCGGAACCCTAGTGTTTTGTAGGAAAAGTATTGGTTAAGTATTTGTGAAAAGTGCAATATATACCCTGTAGAGTAGACCAGATATAGTACTATAAACCTGCTCGGAACCCTTGTGTTTTGTAGGAAAAGTATTGGTTAAGTATTTGTGAAAAGTGCAATATATACCCTCTAGACCAGATATAGTAATATAAAAATGAATCCTATATATTAATGTAAAACAGGGTTTCCACAAAGATGAGACTATAAAGACGACCTAAAACTTAAACTTGACGAATATAAGGTTAAACTAAGTCTTATGGCTTAAATATAGTCTTTTTTATGGCATATTAAATAATTGGACTGAGAATGAAAACAAGTTTACAGTTGCAGGGAATCATAAAGAAACAGGACAGTATAAATTCCATACAGTCGTCTCTGAAGTCTCATCCTTTGTGGGTACCACTGTGATATATTAGGCATAAACCCAAATTCAAAACTTAGATCGTTAAATTTCAAGGTCGTCCTTAAAGAAAACAGATATAGAGTAAAAAATTAACAATGCTTAAATGCAACAAACTTGTCTACATAAATACTGCCAAACATTCGTTCTATTCTCATTTTTTCAGGTCTTGACATTTATGCACCTTTAAATTTGTTTGGAGTCCTCAAAATACAAAAAATTTAAAATGCTAAAATTAACTAATTTAGTGTTCTCATGCTTTCCCTCAAAGATCACGTGATACGTAACCGGAAATTACTACGGGGAATACTTTGAAATATTCTGACGACCGTTAAATATGGCCGCAGACAAACAGACAGTCAGTACTTTGTTGAAAACATAATATTAGCATAAATCATCATGTCAGTCTTAATTTCGTTAAAGGAATTGAGTTCTTGCCATAAATGCAGATTTTTTATTCACTTTATCTTTGCAACCCAATGTCGTGGACATTAGATATTTAAAACTATGAATTCTGTTAGATAAAATAGTTAAAGTTTGAAATATCTAAGGATTACACTATCAGGTTGCAAAGCTATAAGAATTAGAAATTTTGAGTTAGTGGCAAATACTCAATTCCTTTATCAGAAGAAACTACAGTTAAACCCTAAATAGGCCATACATCGAAAAAATTCATCAAATGTCGTATTCCTCACTTTCTCATAATGGAATAATTTAAATGATTATATGGAGCTCTTTAAAACTGTTCTCGCATATTCATGGCTATATTTATTTATTTTCTCAAATACTGAGATTTACGTTAAATAGTATAAAACCCATTAAAATAGTGAAGACGACATTTGATAAATTCTTTCTATGTATGGCTCATTTAGGGTTTAACTGTAGTATTTTTGTACTTAATTTGTTTACGCAATAATGATTAAGATAAGGCTGAGAAAGAGTTAATCTTTACTCTTCAAATCTTACTTCAGCAGTATAAGTATTATGATTGCTTGCACTATTCATTTTTGTAAAAAAAGGCTTTAATGGATATTTTACATCATAGTTGGTTTTCTTTTGATTCTCATGTTTAATAGGACACTATGTATTTATCTCATGTTTTAATATTTTACCGGTAAAAGTAGGCAGTAGTGTATGACCGACATTTACATTTTACATGTCAATATTTTGACCAGCGCGGCGCAGTGGTGAATTCCTGTCCCTAACTTGATCCATCAAAGTAAGGAGGAGATGTCTTGGAAAACGTAGGGAAGGGTTCAAAGAACCCCAGATATTTCCTAGTTTTCTAGTTTACTCCTTGGTACTCTATCATGGCCCATGGGTAAACCCGAATCTTTACATCAGGGGCGTAAACAGGTAAATGTCCGGGAGCTAAACTTTTATGTCTTTTTGCATGAGGTTAAATATAATTTCCACTTTTCCTAAAGAAAGGGCTCTGCTCCAATAGTCCCCCCCCCCCCTCTCCTTCTGTATACTTCCCTGCTTTAAATTTTTAAATATATTTGAGAAGTTTCTGAAATAAGGAAGGAGAGAGAGATAAGGTGTCATCATCATGTAATATTACGAATTTATCCATATTTAACTAAATCCTCAAATCTACATTTCAAAGATAAAAACGGATAAAAATTACATATCTATAAAATAAAACAAGACATTCGTATATAAATATTTTGCATATAAACGCCCAACCGGCTGGACCGATTGGGCTGAAATTTTTTGTGGACACTCGTGGGTGGCCGGGGAGTGTTATAGGCTAAAAAAAATTAGAAATTTGTTTAAATTTTTTTTTTTATTTCAAATTTTTATTTCAAATTTTTCTCAATTTTTTTCCACGGGCAACGCTGGGCCCTTTAGCTTGTTAGTTACTACTATATCTTTATATCTTTATTACTCTTTTGCAAAGTACAAGTTCGATATTCTTTTTACCGTTAGACATTTTTTCAATTGTATTTTGTAGTTTTGGGCAAATGTGGGTTAATTAATGATCTTTTACCATATCAGGACCAAATGGTGTGTTTTTTTTGTTTGAATACACAAACTTTTAGCCAACGTATTCCTTATAGCTTTCAAAGTGAAAGAGGCTATGAATGGAATAACTAATTTAGATAAATATTTTTTTTTTAAGTATTTCCGTGGAGAAGCTTTATTAGATGAAATTTTTGGTCGCAAAAAATAAAGTTTTATAATTTGTTATACTTAGTATAGAACTTTTTCTAAGAACAACCTAAGCTTAAAATGTTGTTTTCAAGTTGGTTTTTGAATTATTGTAGAACTTAAAATTTCGCGGATTCTTAAAGTTTTTTATAATGAATTTACAAAGTTCTGAAAATCGACATTTGTTAAATTTTTCAATTTTGACAATGCCATAAACCATTCCTGAGGTAATTTTAGTTAATACAATAAATGTGGGCCTGGTCGGTTCAGCTGTTCTAACGTTTTTTGGATACAAACCAACAACCAAACAGACCAAATATGTAAATATATTGTAATAAGTAAATATCTATATATATAAAGTTGTAATCTCTGCTTGTCTGTCTATTTGTTTTTCCGATCATAACTCAGGAACCACATGACCGATTTGCCTTAAATTTTAATTGAAGAACTCAGGATAGTCAATGGAAAATTTTTAGCCTTTGAGATTCTAAGTCAAGTGGGTTCAATTTTAATGGGGGAAAATAGAAAAAATCGTAATTTATGATCATCTATTAAGTTCAACTTTAATTCTCCTCATCTAATATATAAAATTCAAATTCAAAGTTGCTAATCCTAAAATCTTAGCAACCTGTTGACGTATTTCAAAATATAGGTTTTGTATTATCAAATGGTCTGACTTTGAAATATCAAAGGTTTACACCATCAGCTTGCCAAAGACATAGGGAATAAGGATTAGAAAATTAGAGTTTGTGACGAGTGTTTAATTCCTTTCCTAACCTCATTGTGTTGTTTTTTTTAAATATCCACTTCTAAAAAAGTATTTGTAAATTTTTTTAATATTTTCAAACAAAATTTTTTTGAAGTGAGTCATGTTTAACAGATATTAGAACTTGAGAGGTGTTTCAACTAACATTAATATTTAAGTTAAATAAATAAAAAACATTCACTTAAAAAATTTCGTGCATTCTTTATAAGGTTATTTTACTGTGAACGTCTCTTAGTCATTTCTTCTCAATTATATGAGAAAAAAACTATATATAATTTTCTAGGAACTGTGGGTTTCTGGAAAATATCTGTTAACCAGCTATATCTCGAGCCGTTAATCAAACAAAAACACGTTTTTGAAACTTTTAAAATAAGAAGGATTCAGTTTATCTATACTTATATTAAGTAGTAATCTCTGATCTTTTGTTAGTTTGTCTAATCATATCTGAAGTATAGAGTGGATTAGCTTTACAGCGAAATTTTAGTTTCCAGACAAAGCTTGGTTTCAAACCTGTTTATAGAAATGGCTACCGATAATTTTCTAGTAACTAGGTTTCTAGTAATAATAATTGTACCAGAGCTGGGAACTTTTGAATGGTGGATATCGGGATTAATGCTTGATCCACCCTTTTTCTTTATATTGAGATTAAATAATGCTTGTTCTCCACTTGTTATTAATCTCCAGATTAATTAACCGATTGGGATTAAAGATATTCCATTCTAAAGATTTCAGCTCAGGTACATTTACACTTAGAAAATGACTAAAAAGCATGTTTTTGAATACTTATGGGACATTAAGGATTCCGTTTATAAAACACTTCCATATATTTGTTTATTTCTCAGATTTGCTGAACGTTTTGACTGGGGAATCCGGTGGATCCACGGAAACGTTCTTAGCTTGGTTGATTTGTTGAGAAATTCTGGTTTCCAAGCAGAGATGGGTTCCCAAGCTAGTTTGTTAATAAAAATACAGTTTGTTGTGTGTACATTCGAATGAATATATGTTATCAGTAATCCCTGTAACTGTCCACCTGGATCTATGGTGTCTAGAGTGTCTCCAGTGTCTCCAGGATGTTGAGCACGGAAACTAAACGAAAACTTCCTCAAATAGCAGCTACACTTGGAGGTTCTGTTATATAACATCTTTTTAAGTTAAGTCTTAAAGAGAGTTTACACGAAAAAGAGAATTGTTTGATACCTGATCAAATTAGCTTTTAATTATTTAATTATTATTATGATAATTATTTTATTTAAGGAATTGAGTATTTCCCCAAATTCTATTTGATCTAACAGAACTCATAGTCTGAACTAATCAAAGGGTTGCAAAGATATAAGTTTAAAAATTTAGAAGAATTTGTGACAGATCCAGTTCTTTTTTAGCTTAATTTGTAACGGTTTTTATTTATTTCTCTGAAGAAAAATCCCACAGAATAATAAATCGGGTAAATTATGGTTCTGATTTACAAAATTTATACATGCTGATTTCTGCTGGAAACATTTCTCTTTAAAACTTTTATAAATATTGATAACTGCACCTATTTGAATTAATGTTTGAAATATGAAAATGAAAGGTATGAAAAAAATAATCAATTTATAAAAAAAGAGGGTTGGAAAAGGAAGGATGCATGTAAAAAGAAGAAATGAAAATTATATTAAATTACTGACTAAAAGAAGTAAGTCAAATTAATGCAAAATTAAAGGAAGTGACAAGCAATGTATGGGAGTTATACTGAGAACGTAATATTTAATTGTTTAGGATTTGTTTGAGACGAACAAAACGTTTTAATGATGTAAATTACTGAGTTTGAGAATCGATTTTTTAAAAATTATTAAATAACGAATACAAAAAAAATATAAAAAAGTTTTAAGTAAACTGATTAGATGTTAAGGAAAATTGAAATTTTCTCAATAAATCAATGTTAGAAATCAACAACTGAATAAGATTACTTATTTTCATTGATAATAGTTAATTTTTATTTTCATTTCTGTTCCTTAACAACTGATTAGTTTACTGTAGAAATTTTTCTACATTTTTCGTCGTCTTTATTGATTAATTTTTTTGAAAACGATTCTGAAAATCGTCCCTAAATAATGAACAATCTATAAGGATGTTAAAGATTGAATTTTCGCTCTCGCTGAACAAATATGCACCGTAAAAACGTCTTATAGGTCTCGAATGATTCCTCAAAAATTTTTCCACAATGCTACATTCTCAGTTCAACTAACATCCATTGCCGGCCACTCCCTTTAATTGTTTTCAAATTGAAAATCTTTTAAATTCTTCTCCGCCAGTGCTCTTCAGAAAACGGCGCTGTTATTGAAAGTATGTAAGGATTAAATCTAACGTAGAGTTTACTTTAATTTATCGGATTAAGTCATCAAATGACGGCCCTACATCTCTTGGGGAATCCATCTTAATGAGACTGAAAATCTAATTTCAAGTGGCCCCAACATTTATAGAGTCAGCTTAACAAAAATCTTTTTCTGAGCAATGATAAATAAGACTTAGTCATTTTTCTTTTAAATATTTATTATTTTTAATTGCGGTTTCCACATTTAAGTGATATTGGAATTTATGCTCTTCAGAGACAATGAAGAAAAGAGTCAGAAATACGTCTCTAGAGTCCCTTTAAAATGAGACTTTTTTGGCGACATTCAAGATGAGAATGAATTAAATAAAAATGAATTAAAATTTGAATTAAAACTTAGATTTAAAACATTGAACATGATAAAAGAATGTTTATGACGTGTTTAATTTAATAGATATTGAAATATAATCTTGTAGTTTAAAATTCATCTCTCCTTGTGTAAATTATCTTAAATTATTAATGAAAGATGAAAGAAAATAAATCTTTTATCTTTTTTATTTAACACTTCAAAGTCACACAATATGTTGATATATTGGCTCAAAAAATCAAGAATATTTTAATTCTGAAATAAAGAATATAATATAAAAATAGTAATTAAAACTTTAAATGTTAATATTCTAAACAGAAATAGAAGGGTTCCGCTTTCTAATAGGGTAAAATATAGAATTTATGCCTCAATATACAGTTGAACCCATAAAAGTGGAATAGGAAGAAACATATAAGCAATCTTACGTGTATTTGGTGTTGTGATAAAGTTTTGCCGTAGCTTGAAAATATTTTTTTGATGTTGTTCCTCTTCACATTTTATCTTGCAGAAATATTAAAGAACATCATACACCGTCCCTTACCTGCTTTAAAGATATAATAATTGTAGCCTGCGCCGGAGCATTCTCTTTGGGAACAGTGATATCTTGGTCTGCGCCTGCACTTCAGCAGATTAATCTCCAGGAGGGTCAGGAGGCACAGGTAACTTAGCATTAATCTCCTTATCTAGAGTAGATTAATCTCCAGGAGGGTCAGGAGGCACAGGTAACTTAGCATTAATCTCCTTATCTAGAGCAGATTAATCTCCAGGAGGGTCAGGAGAGCAGGTAACTTAACATTAATCTCCTGATCTATAGCAGATTAATTTCCAGGAGGGTCAGGAGGCACAGTTAACTTAACATTAATCTCCTGATCTAGAGCAGATTAATCTCCAGGAGGGTCAGGAGGCACAGGTAACTTAACATTAATCTCCTGATCTAGAGCAGATTAATCTCCAGGAGGGTCAGGAGAGCAGGTAACTTAACATTAATCTCCTGATCTAGAGTAGATTAATCTATAGGAGACACAGGTAACTAAACATTAATCTCCTGCTCTACAGTAGATTAATCTACAGAAGACACAGGTAACTTAACATTAATCTCCAGCCCTAGGATAAATTAATCTCCTGGAGGCACAGGTAACTTAACATTAATCTCCAGCCCAAGGATAAATTAATCTCCTGGAGTCACAGGTAACTTAACATTAATCTCCAGACCTAGGATAAATTAATCTCCTGGAGGCACAGGTAACTAATCATTAATCTCCAGCCCTAGGATAAATTAATCTCTTGGAGGCACAGGTAACTAATCATTAATCTCCAGCTCTAAAGTAAATTAATCTCCAGGAGACACAGGTTACTAAACATCAATCTCCAGCTCTAGAGTAAATTAATCTCCAGGAGGCACAGGTAACTAAACATGAATCTCCTGTTCTAGAGTAGAATAATCTCCAGGAGAACAGGTAACTAAGCATGAATCTCCTGTTCTAGAGTAGAATAATTTCCAGGAGACACAGGTAACTAAACATTATTCTCCTACTCCACAGTAGAATAATCTTCAGGAGAACAGGTAACTAAACATGAATCTCCTGCTCTAGAGTAGAATAATCTCCAGGAGAACAGGAAACTACACATTAATCTCCTTCTCTACAGTAGAATAATCTCCAGGAGACACAGGTAACTAATCATTAATCTCCTGCTCTAGAGTAAATTAATCTCCAGGAGGCACAGGTAAATAAACATGAATCTCCTGTTCTACAGTAGAATAAGCTCCTGGAGAACAGGTAACTACACATTAATCTCCTGCTCTACAGTAGAATAAGCTCCTGGAGAACAGGTAACTAAACATGAATCTCCTGCTCTACAGTAGAATAATCTCCAGGAGAACAGGTAACTAAACATTAATCTCCTGCTCTAGAGTAGAATAATCTCCAGGAGACACAGGTAACTAAACATGAATCTCCTGCTCTAGAGTAGAATAATCTCCAGAAGAACAGGTAACTACACATTAATCTCCTGCTCTATAGATTAATCTCCAGGAGACACAGGTAACTTAACATGAATCTCCTGCTCTACAGTAGAATAATCTCCAGGAGAACAGGTAACTAAACATTAATCTCCTGCTCTACAGTAGAATAATCTCCAGGAGACACAGGTAACTAAACATGAATCTCCTGCTCTAGAGTAGAATAATCTCCAGGAGAACAGGTAACTAATCATTAATCTCCTGCTCTACAATAGAATAATCTCCAGGAGACACAGGTAACTAAACATTAATCCCCTGCTCTACAGCAGAATAATCTCCAGGAGACACAGGTAACTAAACATGAATCTCCTGATCTAGAGTAGAATAATCTCCAGGAGAACAGGTAACTACACATTAATCTCCTGCTCTACAGAGTAGAATAATCTCCAGGAGACACAGGTAACTAAACATGAATCTCCTGATCTAGAGTAGAATAATCTCCAGGAGAACAGGTAACTACACATTAATCTCCTGCTCTACAGCAGAATAATCTCCAGGAGACACAGGTAACTAAACATGAATCTCCTGATCTAGAGTAAATTAATCTCCAGGAGGCACTGGTAACTAAACATTAATCTCCAGCTCTAGATTAAAATAAACTTTAGGAGGCACAGGTAACTAAACATGAATCTCCTGCTCTAGAGTAAATCAATCTCCAATATCTAATTTGTTTTAAAAGATGAATAAGAAGCATTTTAATCATTTCCTTTATTTACATTTTATATTATCATTTTTATAAAATCATATTATTTTGAATAGATCGCAGCTCTCATCTTTATTGGAGCGGCTATTGTTCCATTCTTTTTAGGTAACTTTAATAAATTCTCTTAATTGTTTGGATATTCTTTATATTCAGTGATAAGCGTAGTTTTCAAAAATTGTCTAATGATAGTTAATAACAAAAATTGTAAACGGTTTTTGCTATAATGCTTCTAAATAAAATATTTTTAAAAATCAAACTTAAACAAAATAAGTTCAGTATTAACCAGAAAACAGTGGAATAGGAAGACGACATTATAGCAATACTTAATTGTATTTGATGATTTTACAAAGCAAAAAGTCCTACTAAACAGTCTTACTGAAATCATTAATTTAGTGAAATGGGTCTGTTTACACCGCACAATTGGAGTTTTAACGTTATAACTTGATTCTTAAAGTCGTCTTCCTATTTTATAGTTATTACCATGTATTATTTCGATAAAAAAACAGGAACTAACAATTGCCTCAAACTTTAATTTCATTTTCTTTATATATTGCAACCTGATGTCTCAGACTCTCATAGTTTTAATATTTCAAGTCTAAGTTTGAAATATATAAGTCATATTGCAAAGATTTAGGGATTATAAAATTAGAATTCGAGACAAGTGCTCAATTTTCAACTTAACACTTATCCTAGTTTTTATAATCCTTGATTTTATAATTTCACACTTTATAAAATTTAGAAAAATTCTTTTCATAAAACTTAAATTTAGGTCAGCACTGGAAAATTTGACGAAAAATTAATAAACTTTTATTCTTTTCAGTCCATTAATTACAGTCTAATCCACAGTCTCAATAAAATGATTAGAATTAAACGATTTTGACGTGACTTGAATTTCCAGATTTTACCAATGAAAGAATTGGTAAAAAATGGAGTATGATGCTGTTGGCTCTCCCTGCAATCCTCGGCTGGATAATGGTTGGACTTGGTGAATACTCAATCATCCTTTTCTATATAGGCAGGTTTGTCACACAAAAATGAACCTTTGCCACAAACTCAAATTTTCTAATCCCTATATCTTTGCAACAGGAAACCGGATGGTGTAAACCTTTGAAATTTAAAAAAGTGTAGATTATTTGATCTCATAGAATCCATGATTTTAAATATCTAAGGTATTTTAAATCATGGGTTGCAAAGATATAAGAAATATCTTTTGATACAACATTCCTAATACCAACCTACCCACGCTCCACAATTAAACAGAAGTAAATTTTATTTTCCATTCTTTAAATATAGCGATAGGTTTTTAGTAAAAAGCTTGTATTTTTATCAAACTCAACAATTTTTTTATAGAAACCAAAGATTGCTTAACGGAAGATTTTTTATTAAAAACGAGATAATTTCCAGTATACACCTACACCCTTATGTAAATATTTTGTGCATGATAGATTGATTGATTTAAAGATCTATTTATTAAAGCGATATTAGGATCAATTTCATTTTGATGCGGATCCGACTCTAAACTCATTTTTTCAATTTTAAAAAGAAGTAAATTGAGTCTTTATCACAAATCCGATATTTTTATCACCTTATATCTTTGTAACCTGATGTTGTTGGCTTTAGTTTTAAAAAAGTTATTGTCAAAATCATCATCGATTTTTGCTTTAGAGCTTGAGCACTTTAAATCACACAGTGTACATTGGGTTACAGAGATAAAGATCATAAAGGGGTTAGAAAATCAGAGTTTTTTTTGGAAAAGACTACAATTTTTTTGGGTAGAAACTTTATTGTCTATTCAGAGGTTGTCAACCTTAGAGATTTTTTTAAGCAAAAAGTTTTTAAAAATATTTATTTTTCCCCCTGGAACCGGATCCATGGATCGGCATATTTTTTCGGATTTTAGCACTGGTGTTTAGGTTGATGACCGGGTTTGCTGGCGGAGCTTTTGTTATTGCTGCTCCTGCATATACTGCTGAAACTGCTGAGATCAGGTCAATATTTATTAATATATATAATTTCGTTAATATCCGGTGAAAATAATTAATTGACGTATCTCCAGGACATATTCTCTGAGTTTACGTATCTCCAGGATATATTCTCTGAATTTCCAGGATATATTCCCTGAATTTACGTATCTCCAGAATACATTCCCTGAATTTACGTATCTCCAGGATATATTCCCTGAATTTACGTATCTCCAGGATATATTCCCTGAATTTACGTATCTCCAGAATACATTCCCTGAATTTACGTATCTCCAAGATATATTCTCTGAATTTACGTATCTCCAGGAAATATTCCCTGAATTTACGTATCTCCAGGATATATTCCCTGAATTGACGTATCTCTAGGATATATTCCCTGAATTTACGTATCTCCAGGATATATTCCCTGAATTGACGTATCTCCAGGATATATTCCCTGAATTTACGTATCTCCAGGATATATTCCCTGAATTGACGTATCTCCAGGATATATTCCCTGAATTGAAAGCATTAATAATCATGCATGTACGTCAAACGTCACAACTTCACATAGAAAAAATAATTTGCAAGAATCAACATTTTCAGAAATACTTGAAATGATGCAAACCAATTCTATATTGTACATGTAATATTTGTATTTTATATTATAAAATATATGTTTCTGTCAGTCTACCCTTATCATGATCTTACATATCCTGAACTTGTATCTTTGTACCCTACTTAGTTTCACCTGGTCTTACAAACTCATGTCTCTGTATCCTGTATCTTAACTGAAAACCCTTTGCTCCTTTCATACATTAGAATGTCTATCCCAACTAGATAGTAAATACCCGTAATTTGTATCAGTATTGATGCTGCATTCTGGATGCCTTTATGTAGTTGTATCTTGTATCCTAACTAAATATTTCTTGTATCATATCCGATATTCTTTTAAATGTATAGAGCGAAGATGTAAAAGAATGTTATCCCTGCACACCATATTGTATTATAAAATGGTTCCACAATTTTGAGTTTTACATCTCTGTTCCATCCTTAAGTTCTCCCACCCTTGTAACTAAATACCTTTGTATCCGGGTATCCCTTTATGTAACTAAATACCCTTGTATCCGGGTATCCCTTTATGTAACTATACCCTTGTATCCGGGTATCCCTTTATTAACTAAATACCCTTGTATCCGGGTATCCCTTCATGTAACTATATTCTTGTATCCGGGTATCCCTTTATGTAACTATACCCTTGTATCCGGGTATCCCTTCATGTAACTATATTATTGTATCCGGGTATCCCTTTATGTAACTATACCCTTGTATCCGGGTATCCCTTTATGTAACTATACCCTTGTATCCGGGTATCCCTTTATGTAACTATATTCTTGTATCCGGGTATCCCTTTATGTAACTGTATCCTTGTATCCGGGTATCCCTTGATGTAACTATATCCTTGTATCCGGGTATCCCTTTATGTAACTATATCCTTGTATCCGGGTATCCCTTTATGTAACTATATCCTTGTATCCGGGTATCCCTTGATGTAACTATATCCTTTTATTCGGGTATCCCTTTATGTAACTATATCCTTGTATCCGGGTATCCCTTTATGTAACTATATCCTTGTATCCGGGTATCCCTTTATGTAACTTTATCCCTGTATCCGGGTATCCCTTTATGTAACTATATCCCTGTATCCGGGAATCTCTTGATGTAACTATATCCTTGTATCAGTATCCGAGGTGCACTGGGAAGTATGATGCAGTTGATGATTACTATTGGAATACTATTCATGTATCCAGTTGGGTGTTCAGTATCCTGGCAGGTATAGAAACAGTATTCATTTATTCAGTTAGATACTCAGTATTCAGTATCCTGGCAGGTATAGAATACAGTATTCATGTATTCAGTTAGATACTCAGTATTTAGTATCCTGGCAGGTATAGAATACAGTATTCATATATTAAGTTAGATACTCAGTATTCAGTATCTTTTTAGGTATAGAATACAGTATTCATGTATTCAGTTAGATACTCAGTATTCAGTATCCTGGCAAGTATAGAAGACAGTGTTCATGAATTAAGTTAGATACTCAGTATTCAGTATCTTTTCAGGTATAGAATACAGTATTCATGTATTAAGTTAGATACTCAGTATTCAGTATCTTTTCAGGTATAGAATACAGTATTCATGTATCCATTTAGATACTCAGTATTCAGTATCTTTGAAGGTATAGAATACAGTATTCATGTATTCAGTTAGATACTCAGTATTCAGTATCCTGGCAGGTATAGAATACAGTATTCATGTATCCATTTAGATACTCAGTATTCAGTATCTTTGCAGGTATAGAATACAGTATTCATGTATTAAGTTAGATACTCAGTATTCAGTATCTTTTCAGATATAGAATACAGTATTCATGTATCCCTTTAGATACTCAGTATTCAGTATCTTTGCAGGTATAGAATACAGTATTCATGTATTAAGTTAGAGACTCAGTATTCAGTATCTTTTCAGGTATAGAATACAGTATTCATGTATTAAGTTAGATACTCATTATTCAGTATCTTTTCAGGTATAGAATACAGTATTCATGTATCCATTTAGATACTCAGTATTCAGTATCTCTTCAGGTAAAGAATACAGTATTCATGTAGTCAGTTCACAGTTAGATACTCAGTATTCAGTATTTTTTCATGTATAGAAAACAAAATTCATTCATACACAGTATCATGACAGGTACAAACTATTTTAAATTCATTCTTTAAAATCAAAATATTTTCAAAACTTTAATAAAACAGGTTTCAGAATTCTAAAAGAAATATTGAATGTTCAATTATCTTAATGTATTTTTTATTCTACAAGGATAATCTATCCGATGTTCTTGTCTATCAAAGAAATTGATATAATGGAACTGATTACTCGTCTCAAACTCTAATCTATATATAAATTTGGCTTGTCTGGGTGTTTGTTTGTTTGTTTGTATCCAATAAACGTGAAAACGGCTGAACCGATCGGGCCCAATTTTTTTGTGGGACATCACGTGACCACAGGGAAGGTTTATGAATGATAAAAATAAAAAAATGTGTTTTAATGGTTTTTAATTTTGTAAAAAAAAATTTAAATTCTTGAAAATCCGTGGATTTTTTTTAATCCGCAAAATTTTTTTCTTCTTTGTTTTAACATGTTAACATTTTAAATAGAAGATGGGCGCGACGTGCCCTAAAAGCCTAGTTTTCTAATACTTACATCCATAAATACTGCAAGACCTAAAAAGCAAAAATATCAAAAGATTACATAATAAGGTTCCAAAGATGCTGATTAAAAGATCAGTTCCTTTAAATGATTTAGTTGTGAATCTTTCAGACTTTAACCTGGATCTGTGTTGGATTCCCAGTTATACTCCTAATCTGGATGTTTTTTATGCCAAGATCTCCAACATATCTCATCTCTAAGGGACTGATAAAGGTAATATCATAATAACAATATCTCATCTCTAAGGAACTAATGAAGGTAGGATACTACTAACAATATCTCATCTCTAAGGAACATAATAAAGGTAGTATCCTATACTAACAATTTCTCATCTGTAAGGGACTAATAAAGGTAGGATACTACTAACAATATCTCATCTTTAGGGACTAATAAAGGTAGGTTACTACTAACAATATCTCATATCTAAGGGACTAGTAAAGGTAAGATACTACTAACAATACCTAATATCTAAGGGACTAATTAAAGGTAGGCTACTACTAACAATACCTCGTATCTAAGGGACTAATTAAAGGTAGGCTACTACTAACAATACCTCATATCTAAGGGACTAGTAAAGGTAAGATACTACTAACAATACCTAATATCTAAGGGACTAATTAAAGGTAGGATACTACTAAAAATAACTCATCTCTAAGGGACTAATGAAGGTAGTATACTACTAACAATATCTCATCTCTAAGGGACTAATGAAGGTAGTATACTGTTATCAAAGTATCATATCTTAGGGACTAATGATATGAATAATTAACAATTAACGACTGCAGGTATTTTCTAAAATTTGACCGGAACTTTTTTGGAAACAGTTTCAATATTTCAAATCCTCAGGGATAGAGGTTGAGCAAACTGTTTTCTCCTTTGCCCTTTTTTACTTTGCTTCCCTATATTCTCCACGACGATTATACCACAGTTGTCTGGTTAACCCTGAATTAAGGAAGGACGAGAGACTCTTCTATTTCTCCGAGGATCCGAGTACAACATAGATCAAGAGATACAGGGAACATGTGTCATTATTCACTATTCAGCCATTTTGTTTGAAAATATTTCAGCTTACAAATATTAGATTATCTTATATCATCCCTAAACAAGGTTTACCCCCCCCCCTTATTAGTAAAAAGTCTTTAATCAAATTTTTACAAATGCTTATGCTTTGATGCTTAAGTGACAAATATTACTAATACCAATGTACCGACTGAACCTATTTGTTTAAACACAATATTATCTAAAAATCAGATTAAAAATATCTTGCCGCAGACCGGAAGTTTGAAATAAAAACCGGGTTGAGCACGTGTTCACTGTACACAGGAAATAGAAAGATCGCTGGAGATTTCTAAAAGCATGGGCTCCGTTAGTTATCTTAGGAATCATTTTTCTTTAAGAAAATCAAACATTTAATATCTTTTACTTCAAAAAACATTTTAAATGGGGAACACGCTATAAAAAAGTAGCCAACTTTGATATGGGGTAAAAAGCCAAATTTGATTTTAGTTTACTCACGGAGAAGAGATATCGAACCCCGTTCCTTCTCTGCTTGGTTCTCATGTTCGTCCAACAGTTCTCAGGGTGCAACTTCATTGCTGCATACACTGTCAAGATATTCGAGGTTAGGATTCATTTCCGTCTTCTCCTATTTGAGATTTAGATACCCTTCGTTTAAAAGAGTGCCATGTCGATTTACAATGGTACGCTTGAAACTTTAATCTGATTTTTTCTGGTTTGAAAAAAGTGGTTAATTCTGATGATTTCTCCATCGTTTCTTCAGAATTAAATACTCCAGTATCTTTTGCAGAAAAATCTCTAATGAAAATAAACAGTTTTAAAACATAAAAACATTGAATTCTATTTAATCATCAAGCAGAAAGAACGTTTTAGGGTACGGTTGTGAATCACACATCTCATTCTATCAGCAGAGTCACTTTAAATTCCGCTTACCGTCCCTTTAAACATTTAATATTTTATTTATTTTACAGAGGCCTCACAGGAATCTGTCATTTATATTTAAAAATTCATTATCTTTAATTCAGTCAAAAATTTCAAAATATGATAAACATATAAGTTTTTTTAAAAAGTCTCTAAAAAATCTTAAATATTTTAATTCAAACAAGAAAACTGCGCCGATCGCTGTCTTGTAGATAAATAAAAAATAAAAGGACTTCCTAATTTGGCGAGTAAGGAAAAAATTATCAATTTGTTTTTAAGTTTTAAAGTACGAGAAGAAATGCTAATTTTGTATTAGATAGATTTTCAAAAAAGTGCAGAATTTTACTTTCAACCTTAAAATGGAGAATTTTAAAGCATATGCAAGGAATTGGCATATTTTTTCGATGTTTTTCTGAGAATTTGCAGTTTTACCATCATATTTCATAACTGGGGATTAGACAAAATATTTTCTATTTTTGATAAATGATTTTTTAGAATGCTAATTCAACTCTGGACTCTTGCCTCAGTTCATCAATAGTTATGCTGACTCAGTGTATAGGAACAGCAGTCACAGTACTAATAGTAGATAGGTACACATAGGGTGGGAGGGATATTCCGCCATCAACCTCTAGGTACATTGAGGGAGGGAGGGATATTCCGCCATCAGCCTCTAGGTACACATAGGGAGGGAGGGATATTCCGCCATCAACCTCTAGGTACACATAAGGAGGGAGGGATATTCGGCCATGAACCTCTAGGTACACATAGGGAGGGAGAGATATTCGGCCATCGAACTCTAGGTACACAGAGGGTGGGAGGGATATTCTGCCATCAACCTCTAGGTACACATAAGGAGGGAGGGATATTCCGCCATCAACCTCTAGGTATACAGATGAAGGGAGGGATATTCGACCATCAACCTCTAGGTACACAGAGGGAGGGAGGGATATTCGACCATCAACATCTAGGTACACATAGGGAGGGAGAGATATTCTGCCATCAACCTCTAGGTACACATAGGGAGGGAGAGATATTCTGCCATCAACCTCTAGGTACACATAGGGTGGGAGGGATATTCTGCCATCAACCTCTAGGTACACATAGTGAGGGAGAGATATTCGGCCATCGACCTCTAGGTACACAGGGGAGGGAGGGATATTCGACCATCAACATCTAGGTACACATAGGGAGGGAGGGATATTCTGCCATCGACCTCTAGGTACACAGAGGGAGGGAGGGGTACTCGGCCATCAAACTCTAGGTACACAGAGGGAGGGAGGGATATTCGGCCATCGAACTCTAGGTACACAGAGGGAGGGAGAGATATTCGGCCATCGACCTCTAGGTATAAAGAGGGTAGGAGGGATATTCGGCCATGAACCTCTATGTTAACAGAGGGAGGGAGGGATATTTGGCCATGAACTTCTAAGTACACAGAGGGAGAGAGGGATATTCGGCCACAAAGGGTGGCAGGGATCAAAATGTTTTCTGTGCCCCTCAGTCAATATTCGGAACCCCTCATTTAGAATTCCGAACCTTGCGATAATTTGTTTGTGTGATGAGTGCCTCAAATTTTTTAAAGATAATTTGTTCTGACTATTCACTGTCATGACTTGAATACTGCATGAACATTTAGAACTCTGAATATAAGATTTAAAAAGAATATTGTTTTAAATGCCAACATTTTAAACGAAAGTACTTTTTATGAAATAACAGAAAAATAATAAAAATAGAGTTAAAACATGGAATGACGGCCAGGCCAGCTATCTGCAATCTGCATGCTTCTAAAATTTTTAAATAACAATAAATTTTTTGCGAACACTCTTATTAACTACAAAAGATAATGATGGATTATTGGGTTCCATGGATTAAAAATTGAACGATGTCAAATGTCGAGTGTCGACACCACATTAAATAATTAAATTCAAGATTTCACCTAAAAAATTGCGGGTTTTCAAACACAGCTCATTTTTCTTTAGAAAAAGGATTTAACATATATATTTTTATATCAAAGTCTGCAACCTGTCTTCTCTGAAAAAAGATCGTATAAAACGATGTTAAAAAGTTTGTTTCCTGTGGATAATTGCATTTAGAGTTCAAAGAGTCTTTGGCAAAAACTTTCTGCAGGTTGAAAAGACTAGTTATGTATAAAAGAATTCTGGTTGAACACAGATATTTACAAACCTCCGTGTAAGCAGTAATTTCAACAGAATGCTGACTAGGCACCACAACTACATATTTAGTAGAATTCCAGTTTAAAAAATACAATTCTTCTGTATTCGTATAGCTTGTTTTTCTAACCAGTATTTAAGGAATTTAAACGAATTTACAAAAAAATATTCCATGAAATCAGAAAAATTTCAGAAAGCTGCCCTAACATGTCGTAATAAATGTAACAAATTATATTCCCCCTACACTGCAAACTCCAGGTCATTTTAAGTACCGTACCGACTTCTAGGCAACTAGTGCAAGTAGTACAGTAAATATAAATGGGACAGTACGTATAATAAAGCATTTCCTTTCAGAAATGAATATGTATACTTCAGAAACTAATCAGAAAATAAACTTATAAACGTTATTTAATATAAGAAGCAGTACGCATCAAAAGGTTAATTTAAAAACTCAATATTCTCCTCAACCCTTAATTTTCATATCTTTTATCTTTCCAACCTGATGTCAGAGAATTTTGATGTATCAAACTATGAATTCTTCAGGATCAAATAGTCAAAGTAAAATTTTAAAAATCAACGCTTTACGACGTCAAATTGCACATATAAAGGGTTAGGTGGTTAGAGTTTTAATGCCATTTTATTTTTTTTACTCAATCAGACACATTCTTAAAGGAACTATAAGCGTAATTTCAAATGACTTACCATGTAAAGATGGCAAGTATGATCTCCATGATTTTGTTTTTTAAAACTTTTCATTTTCACTCGAGGTTTCTCTTCCGAAGTGATTTGCGCATTTCTTGCTTATGAGAAAGGCTGGAGAAATGATCAGAATTAAACCCTTTTCCAGTCATAAAACGACTTTTTTTATCAGATAAAGATTTCAAGGGTACCGTTGTGAATCAAGCATTGCCACCTTTGCAATTGAAAATACACTTAGAGTCACTTTAGACATAATCGTGTAGCTAAGGAATTGAATCTTTGCCACAAACTCGAATTTTCTTATCCCTATCTTAGCGACCTGATGATGTTAACCTTTGATATTTCAAACTTAGATACTTTGATCTGACAGAGTTAATAGTTTGATATATAAAGGGTCTACGCTATTGGGTTGCAAAGATATAGGTATTAGAATATCAGAGTTTGTGGCAAAGACTCAATTCCTTTGTTTCTATATCTAGGTTTCTATATCTAGGGTTCTATATCTAGGTTTCTATATCTATAAGGTTTCTATATCTATAAGGTTTCTATATCTAAAAGGTTTCTATAGCTAGGGTTCTATATCTAGGGTTCTATATCTAGGTTTATATATCTAGGTTTCTATATCTAGGTTTATATATCTAGGTTTCTATATCTAGGGTTCTATATCAAGGTTTATATATCTAGGTTTCTAAATCTAGGTTTCTATATCTAGGGTTCTATATCTAGGTTTCTATATCTAGGGTTCTATATCTAGGTTTCTATATCTAGGTTTCTATATCTAGATTCGGACGGAAAATATTGATTATGGTTTCTCTGGCTTTTGTATCCTTATCCTTGTTAGGCCTGGGAACATACTTCTATCTGGATGAACATAGAGATCTGTAAGAATTTTATGCTTTTATATAAATGTTTGCAGTATAACATAATAAAGATTTTAAGCATTTTCCCAAGAGGCGACTTCCGAAATGTGCATTTCCCTTGCTGCAACTTTCCGAGGCTGACCGAATTAGGCATATTTATTGTTTACTAGCCCGTGAAAAAAAAATTTTGAGAAAAAAAATTATAATTCTTTTTGCCTATGAAGCCCCTGGGCTACCAATGAGTGTCCACTAAAACTTTCAGCCCATTCGGTCCAGCCGTTTGGCCGGCTAAAAGGAACTATGAATTTCGTGTTTTATCATTTAGATGGAAATAGCAATCTTTGTTTGAAAACTAGCCGGAGCAAAGGAACTGATTAATCGCCTCAACAGTAAATTTTCTAATCCCTTTATTTCTGAAACCTGATGGGTAACCTAGTGATATTTCGAACTTTGCCTTTTATTTCTAACAGAAATGTCAAAGATCCACGAGATCGGGTTATGCAGAAAATTAGGCTACGAGGCGAGTTTTCAGTTTCTTTGTAAAAAAAGTCAGATGAAAGAAACCTAACAAATCTAGCCCTGGTTAGTATACAGGGTAAATTGTACGTTTGGGAAATTTTCACTTGGAATTATTCTGCTATGAAAAATAATCATAATCATATGTGTAGTAGTACATTTTAACCGTATGGTTTGTGCTTCTATATAAAACAAAATAATCATAATCATATGTGTAGCACATTTTAACCGTAAGATCTGTGTTTTTATAAAACAAGGATTAGAAGTTCACCAAAATTTAGTCCAAATACAAAAATATTAGAAAGATATGAAAAAAATCATTTGTAACACATTAAAAAAATGATAATTTCTTTACCATGCATCCTTATAGAGACAATACAGCATGTTTTCTAATATCCACGTGATCACATGTTATTCAATATTTAACTTTTATATTCTCAGCAATTATTCTTGAAATATAATCCATGCTCTCTTATTTCTTTTTCCATCAAAGAAATAATATTTTGCATATTTCATAAAAATGGCTTACAGAGACTTACGAGGATTTAACAATCTGGTCCTTCTATATATAAATTTGGCTTGTCTGTCTGTTTGTTTGTATCCAATAAACGTCAAAACGGCTGAACCGATCTGGCCCAAATTTTTGTGGGACATCACGTGCCCACAGGGAAGGTTTATGAATGATCAAAATTTTAAATATTTGTCTCCATCGAAATTCGATCTTCATTAAATTTTTGAATTATTTTTGTTTTGTTTTACGATGTACACAAAGAGAACATGTTCACAATTAATTTAGAAGATGTGCGCGGAGCGCCCTATAAGGCTAGTATCCTTATAATGAATAAGTACAATAAGACAAATCCGTAAGTTTAAAGATGAATTACAGACCAATAGTTCAAAACGAGGTAGAATTCAATTAGAAAACGAACACATCTCCCCCTAATGACATTTTCCGCGTTATGTTATGATAAAGGATTTTAAGGTACTGTTGTGAGTCGGGCATACAGCTTTAATAAATTGAGGTTCAATTTTAACAACAGTCCCAATTTTTTATGGAATATGGAAAAGATAGTTCTTTGATGAAATAAGAACAAGCGTAAGCATGGGAGGAAAACCTTTTTTTAATGAAAGGAGATTGCTTTCTCATTTTAAACATTGTTTTTTGTTTAGAATAGATGAGGAGACGTTGTCTAGTCTTGGAATCATTCCCTTGATTTGTCTCATTCTTTTCAGCTTCACCTTCTCCCTGGGTTTGTTTATAAAGAACCTGATTCTTTGCCACAAACTCAAATTTTCCTATTCCATTTTTGCAACCTGATAGTGTAAACCTTTTATATTTAAAACTTATATTATTTGATCCAACAGAATTCAAAGTTTGATATATCTAAGGTCTCGTTTTTGGGTTGCAAAGTTATAAGGATATGAAAATAAGAGTTTGTAGAAAAGAATTGATACTTTTATCATATTATAAATTGGATGATTATTTTCTACCTAAATTAATCACCCTTGTTTAGTCGTCAATGTGTTATTATTTTTAGCGTATTGTTATTACTTCTTCATTATTTGTATCTACGTAATATTACGAGCATCTTTTTCAGTAGTTGATAAATCTTGCTTATCTGGGATAAGTCCCATTTTCAGACGTATCCATACAGGACATTTTTCCAGGAATATTAGGGTATCCTTTTCAATTGGGGGGGGGG